GAGCAAATGGTAATTCACAAGCGCACGTACATACACAACCAGATCTGCATCAGATACATTTGGAACTGTTTTGAGAATAGCCTCAAGTTCGTCAGCGGCTGTTTTTCGCTTTGCCTCTTCCGCCCTTTCCTCCTCAACTAATTCTTTCTGATAGAGGGCCTCATACAGCGGTTTGTTAATCTCACTCGCTGCATCCATGCGAGCCTTTAACATATCTGAAAGTTAAGCTGATGCCATGTTGGAACTATTAGTTCCTTTGGTTGCCATGACTTCTCTCACTCCTCTCTTGTCAGTGCGTGTCAAAGGGCATGTAGTGAATTTCAGCAAAAGAAACAAACTGAAAGTTCGGAGAAGAAGATAGAACTGCTAGCCGGAGCGGCAAATATTTGGACTAGAGAGCAACCAAAGAAAACAAATCAAAGAAATACAATACACTCAGAAGAGAGTTCTGATTCCGCATTCAAGTCCGGTCAGACCAAGTACAAGATCCCCTTGAGCCTAATCCAACTGGCACCGTCAAAGTACAGCAAACCAGACTACAAGTAACATCATACAACAATGGAGAATTGAGTGGTGTATAAGGTGAAGGTCAAGCATTGGATTGTGTGTCATCAGTCTGACAAAGCATCTCAGCCGAGATCCCCTCGGCAGTGAGGGCTCTAATAAAAAAGAAGAATACCGTATCCCAAACAAAAAAGGGAGCGACACTGCGTCAACAGATTTGGGTCCAAGGGGCCCTTCTTGTCTGCGCCCGGTCCCACTGGGTCCCAATGGGTCCCAAGTAGGTCGCGACCAGATCCCAACCAAGGAGAGTACCCCAAGGTCCTACTTTCTGCCTCTACCGTACTGAAAAACGAATTTCAACTTCAAGAGAGAACCTACAGACTACATCCATTCATAGATGAAAAGATAAAGCACTGTAGAAAGATATGGCTTTTCAAGCAAGATACTTCATTTCTACATCCATCAGGTTAGTAAGTAGTTCGCACACCAATGCACACAACCAAGACTTCAGAGGAGTAGGAAAGAGACCTTGAAGTACCCCAGCAGGACAAACAATACCATGCATGCATACATGGGCAACCCTTAGGTGCACGACACTTACCTGAGTGGTCCGGACTCCGAGATGAAATATAACTCACCCCCCTTCCTCATGTGGTCTTCCTAACACTATTCGCTACCTCTACACTAGTGTCCTATTATGTAGGAGGGTCTCACTTCCAACACCAAAGTGCAACGCCGGATCCCCCACCGATGCTGAAGAACAAAGTAGTAACTTGCAGTCCGTAGATGCAGAATGGCTACCTCCCTCAAGATCGCCTACTTGAGGGAGGCCCTCACGTCACCAAGTGTCTCCCTTAGGTCAGATTCCATGATTCATGCTGAAAGCCTACACACGGGGCCCTCACGGGACCCGAGGTTGGAATAGGGTCCCCAGGTCGTGTCACCGCAACCTGAAGGCCCTATGGCGTTTTTACTTGGGCCTGCATCAGAAAAACACCAGCTTTAGATTATTTTTATAGTCTTTATTTTATTTA